CCCTTTTGTCTGGCACTCAAAGGTATTAAAATACCTTTGATCGACACATGTCAATAATATTGGACTAGCCCAGCCAATCACGAGCCCCGTTCGCTGGCAAACGGAGGTTTTCAAAATCCAGGGGTTTGTCTGCAAGCGTTTCCTTCTTTCCCCTCTCCCAACCCCCTCTTTCTTTTTTGTGGCTCTTGCCCCATTTTCCGCACAGACAAAACACTGAAAATCCCGTTCCTTGGTCTTTCTTTGCTTCCAAACCCCACGGAAACGCTTGCTACGCAGGCTAGAGTTAAAAATACCCAACAATAGATGACTGGAAAAATGAGACCATATCCAAGGATAAGATTGACTGTACACTTTTTCTGCGATTGAAATTTAATCAATTTTGGTTTTGAACTTCTCAAAATCATGGCAAATAAATCTGTGAAATTTCCTGTAAGCTTTTGTCCCATATTAAAAAATGTTTGAATTCATCTCACCACAGATGCTGCAGAGGTTCTTCGAAGCAATAGGCGGTTGTTTGAACAGAATGTGCAGAAGGCCATGAGAGGAGGATTTGTAGGAAGTGTTTACTTTGACCGAACTCTTAAATAACGCCATTGGGCAGAGCAGAGAGTTTGTCCTCTATTTATGAACTTTTTTAATGGTTGTGGTGCGAGTTTATTAAAATCAAAGACCAAATGAGTTTGGTTCCTGGTGCTTATGAACATTTCAGGATGAACAAGAGCACAGGCTTTGGACTGCAGAGCTACATATAACAAATCTTAGACCTTGGATTTCTGAGGGTTGAGATTAGTTTCCTGATAAGCTGCCTCTTTTAGTTCCGGCAGCAGACTTTGGTAGTAAATTTAAGCATTCTTCCTCCTTAAGGGATCTTGTTTTAGGGTAACAAGGTGGAGAGAAGGTATTAATCACTGCTGGGGCTGAAAGGGAGAACCCTGTCACTCTCAGAGCATCCTAGTTGAGAATAAAAGAGATTCAAATTTCATTCCGCAAGAATACTGGAAACAAATATCAAAAAGTACATCGTAAATTTTTGCTCAATGGCTTCATATGAATGGTCACAGGCTAGGGTCTCTTATGTGGTCGTAAAGATTCAAATTATGAAGTAAGGCTTTGACTCTGGGAGTGTAAGGGTTAAGCAGTTTGCATGTCTTAGAAAAATTGTCTCTGATTGATAAATAAGTACAGTTGATAAATTTATGCAGCTTACATAGACTAGAAATGGTCATTGGTTTTATTGATTTCTTTGCCGAACTTGAAAATCTTCAATAGATTTCTGTTAATGTTATTTTTTAATGAGTATATATGGCTGTAAATGTTATAGGGGGAGGGAATGTCCAGACAATATTGCTATACTGATATGTGGAATCTAGAATAGACATTTTGTACAGTTGTGTATAAAATAAACATACCATGCTATAAGAGTGAGCATTGAATTTGCTTTATGTATGGGAGGTCAAGATGGCTACATATTGGCCAAGTTCTTTGTTTGCATGTTTATGGACCAAGTGGAATAATTGAGCTTCATGGACATGCAAAAAAAAAAGGAACAATTGCACCATTCATTAATCTTGACTGAACAAGTTGGGTCAGTAAAAGAATTATAATATGACAAAAGAAAAACACTTTTTCTTCTTGAAACATTGGCTTCCTGAGCAGGCTAGATAGCCCCATGACGATGTTCAAAGCACGTGCTTTCATGTAGCTCACAGTGAGTGTTAATAAAATACTCGACAATGACGTAGTTACAAAGTGAAAGTGGGCAATAAAAGAGCAAAGGATATTTTGCAGTTTGCGTGTAGAAGTCCACTATTTCCTTTCACACGGAAAAAATGACTTTACTTTTTCTCTGAAATAGGAGACGTCTGCACTTATGCTTAGTAGTTATTTTTTTGCTCCTTTTCAGTTGTTGATACAACAGGAAAGCGTTTTCGTTTAAAAGGATGAGCATATTTCATAGTATCAGTACAGTGTAGATGAGTGAAAGATAATTGGCAAAGACTTTAAACAGGTGGGGTCATAGCCT